CCCACCTGGGTGACGCACAGCAGCCATTTAGCACCAGCACGCTCACCACACATCAGCTTGAGGCAGAGAGGGAGGGAAACATTGAGCCAATTACTCTGGGGGATGATTAGATGGCCAGATGGTGCAAGCCAGGTTGGGAATTTTGATGATTTTTAATGACCACAGTGAGTCAGGACCTCGGTCTAATCTGAAGGACGGCAGCTCCTACAGCACAGTGTCCCCATCAATGCACTGGGGCATCCGGATCTTATTATTATATTATTATTAGGACCAGAGGGAAGACCGCCCCCTACTGACCCACCAACACCAAATGCCAAATTCACTACCATATAATGGAAAATCAGTATGAATATTAAGCCAGAGAAAATCAGTATTGATGAAGTTACCTGAATTTTATAAAACATTTTATTATAATACTCACATTCATATTTAATACACTATAGCTTATTGGGTGTGTATGTACTTTGTGTTTTGGTGGGGACATAAGGGTTCAGATTAGGGGTGTGACGATACACTTAGCTCACTTGCACGATTCACAATATTGGGTTCACGAGAACAAGACAAGAAGATGTTTTAAATAGGGCTGGGCACATTAATGCGTCATTATCACGCATTTAATTAACGACGACAATTATTTTATCTCACGTTAAACGCAGTTTAAAAAATATAAAAATATTCTTATTTTGAAAGTCATAACAGTAATAGATTGTGGAAACTCACAAACAGCGAGGATCAGTCTCTCTTCCAATGATTTCTGCTATGCGTTCAAAACATTCAAGACGATTCAACTTCGGCGGCGGGCTGTTGTTACGAGCACAACCGTTTTACGGGAACGCACCCGCTTGTCCCTACGCCTTATGCTCGACACCTTCACCTCACTGTAACAGGGAAACTTGCTGAAAATAGGCCCTAGACTGTTTATGATGCTTCCTGATAAAAGATTTAATATTTCATCAAAATAGCATTAAAATCAGTTCTGGGCAACGATTAAAACTTTTAACTGCAATTAATTCCATGATTGTCTTGCAATTAATCGCATTGTTAATGGCACAATTGAAGAATGAATTCTAAAGTAGTGTATTGCGCAATTTAATTTAAATGCACTGCTATATACAAAAGTACAATAACATGTGTTTTGTAAACACTTTAAACAAATACGGTTCTTTTTACAAGCAGTATTCCCTTTACACAGAGGCAATAAAATATTTCTTGTAAATCCTCATCTTAAACATTAATGTAATCAAATCAAATATTAAACCAAAGCTATTTGCCACTGCCAGGGCATTACCTTGCACTACCTTATCTTGCTTGTTAAAACAAGTTACCATTAGAGTCCAATTTTCTTGGGGGGGTTTTCTAAACAGGTGTCAGCAGGAACATTTTTCTTTTATCAGAGACTAGCATAAACAGTCTAAGGCCTGTGTTCAGCAAGTTTACCTGTTTGTGAGTTTCCACAATCTATTACTGTTTACTAAATAGGACATCAACAGGAGGGAATGCACATCCCCTCAAAACTAGATGTAGACCTAACGGGTAAATCACTGGCCCATATGGGACCACCAAGCAAACCCACCTGCCCAGAGCCATAATATGAGCCATCCAGTCCCCCGCAGTCTGTGGCATTGGAGTGAGCATGCACACAAGCACCGATAGCGCGACATGGTAGGCAAAGGACTGACCCATGTGCAATAGCCGGGGAACCGGATGGGGGGGCCCGCAGCTGTACAGATGCAGGAGGGGACAGCGACCGCATCAGCTGGATTCACCGGTCATATAATTAGAATATCAAAAAGTTGATTTATTTCAGTAATTCCATTCAAAAAGTGAAACTTGTCTAATGTATACATTCATTCCACACAGACTGATATATTTCAAGTGTTCATTCCTTTTAATTTTGATGATTATAACTGACAACTAATGAAAACCCCAAAATCAGGATCTCAGAAAATTTGAATATTGTGAAAAGGTTCAATATTGAAGACACCTGGTGCCACAGGGATAACCGCACCCTGGAGAGGATTGTGAAACAAATCCCATTCAAAAATGTGGGGGAGATTCACAAAGAGTGGACTGCAGCTGGAGTCAGTGCTTCAAGAACCACCACGCACAGACGTATGCAAGACATGGGTTTCAGCTGTCGCATTCCTTGTGTCAAGCCACTCTTGAACAAGACACAGCATCAGAAACGTCTCGCCTGGACTAAAGACAAAAAGGACTGGACTGCTGCTGAGTGGTCCAAAGTTATGTTCTCTGATGAAAGTAAATTTTGCATTTCCTATGAAAATCAAGGTCCCAGAGTCTGGAGGAAGAGAGGAGAGGCACAGAATCCACGTTGCTTGAAGTACAGTGTTTCCAGAGTTTCCACAGTCAGTGATGGTTTGGGGTGCCATGACATCTGCTGGTGTTTGTCCACTGTGTTTTCTGAGGTCCAAGGTCAACGCAGCCGTCTACCAGGAAGTTTTAGAGCACTTCATGCTTCCTGCTGCTGACCAACTTAATGGAGATGCAGATTTCATTTTCCAACAGGACTTGGCACCTGCACACAGTGCCAAAGCTACCAGTACCTGGTTTAAGGACCATGGTATCCCTGTTCTTAATTGGCCAGCAAACTTGCCTGACCTTCACCCTATAGAAAATCTATGGGGTATTGTGAAGAGGAAGATGTGATACGCCAGACCCAACAATGCAGAAGAGCTGAAGGCCACTATCAGAGCAACCTGGGCTCTCATAACACCTGAGCAGTGCCACAGACCGACTGATCGACTCCATGCCACGCCGCATTGCTGCAGTAATTCAGGCAAAAGGAGCCCCAACTAAGTATGATTGGACTGCACCATTCACCAGAGGAACTTCTCTCAAGAGGGCCCACTATATCCATGCCTATTCTTTCAAATGGTGTGTCTATTATAGGCAATGGCTGAAGCTGGGCACGGGCCACTCCTTTGTTTGAGGTCAACTGACATGTCTGACATGATGCACAAAACTGCTGTACTTGAGTGTACATGCCTGACCACACAAATCGCCTAGCAATTCTATTTAGAGACTTTTGAAATGCTAAATGGCCTGCCCAGGGGATTGAATGACCAAGTTCAATGACTTTCTGCCTAAGAGCCTGTGGCAAAGCAATGGCCTCAGTCTTGCCTTTGCACTGATAAAGAATACCATCTCTCACGGCATAGGTTGCTTCTGCAAGAACATCTGTTCGTCCCTGCTTCTTCCCTTCAACCGCTGAGACTTTATCAAACCAGGGCTTTAAGGTCGGGTCAGTCTGCTGCTGTGCTGATAAATCAGAGGGCACATCAAACTCCAGAAACTGAGTGGGCTTCATGTGCTGTACAACTTCTGGCCTAGCTTATCCCTTCTCCTCTGAGCTCTGGACTTCTGCTAGGCTTGCAGCCTCCTCTGCAGACTTAGGAGCCCGTTCCTGTATCCACACCTCCAACTCCGGATTCACCATCCTCAGAAACTGCTCCAGGATCATCACTTCAGAAATGTCCTTCACAGTGGATTTCTCTGGTTTCACCCACTTGTGAAACAAGTTTTTAAGGCGGACATATAGTTCCCTTGGAGTCTCATCTCATTCCCAGTAACTAGTAGTGTAACGGATTAGTATTTCTAAAACAGTAATATTATTACAGGTACCAATCCAAGTAACGCTGCGGTACTGAGTTACTGAATGCACCGCCCTTGGCATGAATTCACAACATGGCGGCAGGTCAGCTGCACTGGACCTGATGTTATTCAAGTCAGCTGTTAGTATAATGTTACTAAATTACTTACATAATCTCAGCAAATTCAATAAATTTTCACATACTGTATAGTTTAAAGCTAGTTTAGGCCTATTATGTATATTATGTTCCAGTGACCAGTTCCATATTGTTATTCGAGTGACCAGTGTTGGGAAGTAACTGTTACACGTTCTTAGAGAATATAAGCAAGATACACAAATGGCATCAGATTATTGGACAGGATAAATACAGAGTGACATTTATACATTCAACGGCATTTCAGACGATGGCCTGTAATACTTATTTTGTCCATTTGGGGGAGCGTGGGTTACATGACGATAGCTTTGATTCATTAAAATGAATAACGGTCAGGGATCCTTGCTGCAAATTAAAACACTGCGAAATTAACTTATTTAGATTCTTTTCAACAACAAATAACACCAACATGGTAACATAACTATTCAAATGGAGGCAAACGCCACCACTAACTTAGCAAGGATTATTGTTTAAACAGAACAACAGTTTATAATGAAACATTGTTTTAGCTCAAGAAGGCAGGAGTCGTTCGTGTCTCCCTATGGCAACCCTGGCTTATCACATTTGCACATCAGCTAAAAGAAGAGAAGGGAGTGGCGTTTTATGGCTCAGCCATTCTGTGGGAAAAGGGATCAGAAAGGGTGGTACTTTGATGTCCTGAGGTACCCTATGGAGGGAGAGGGGTTGGACAATTCCTTTGCTGTCCTGCTAAGTGTCTCTATTGACACCTTTACGGCGAGAGGGTTTCACTAAGGCTCTTTGAATACACGGTCCTTAAGTGATGCATGTCTGATTGAGTCTCTGCAGCCCCTTACCAAACCCTAGGCGATGTCTGATTATTTTTTTGTGAGAGTGGGATGCCACACCAGTGCCACACCGACCCCAGCAGCAGGCAGGTGAGAACCCAAGCAGCCAGGGCAGCCCACGTTGATGTGTTGTACCATGACTGCACATACAGTATGTGTTTGTGTATGTGTGCGTGTGAGTGACCTCACTTTCCCTGTCTGTATTAGCAACATGCATTTCTCATTGAGCTGCATCAAGCAAAACAACACTAAGAATATTAAACATTACAATTTTTGTTTTCATTGCAACTTGGAGTTTTACAGACATTCATCTGTTGATGCACGTTGATAATGTAAAGAGGAAGGAAGCCAGGACAGCTTTTACCATACCAACTACCCAACCACAGAGAGACAAAGACCACATCCTCCCTTTTTCATTTGAAATGTTTATTGTGACCAACTGACATACAGGACTTCTCATGTATGTGATCTACCTGCTGATGTGATTTTACAGATGTGAATAGAAACTATGAGTTTAACAGCAGCAGCGAGTGGATTTGTTGTCTTCCTTCTCTCTGTACAAGGTACTGTCCATCTACATTTATATTATGAGGCATTACCAGACATTCACTTCTCTTTCTTTAAATTGAAGTCTTTACAACACAACCAACACAGAGCTGTGTCTGTTCTTTACACCAGCAGCATCTCTTTGCAGTTAAACCTTAACAATGTAAACTTCATAAACTGAAGTTCACGAAATGTGAATATGAACAGTATGAGTTGTGTGATTGTGTCGACTTTTAAAAGCCATCTCCCGTCAGATGCTTAAAGAAATGATCTGATACAGTTTACCTCATTTGTGAACACAGCTATAACTTCCACTTTTATAATAATGGATAGAAATGAAGTGCGCAAAGAGTAACAGGCAAACAGCATGGATAAACAGTTTAGATATTTGGCTAAAGGTACTGTATAAATGGTTGTTGACAATGGGTTCATCTCACTTGGCCCTGGGGTGTTTGACAAAAAAGGTCTGGAACCACAGCGCTCTAAGTTGGTTCATTGATCACTTAGTCTCCCACATTACCAGTTTCCTTGTTATAACATCTGTGTGAGTTATGTGTACTTAGTATATGCTCACCTGATTACAACATTTACATTTATTCATTTAGCTGACGCTTTTATCCAAAAAAAAAAGGGACACAATGGTGTCTCACAGTGGATTTGAAATCAGGTCTCTCACACCTAAGGCATGTGTCTTATCCACTACGCCATCACCACCCACAAAATGCATAAATCATTAATTTGTAATCACTGGTGTTAAAGTGCTATATGCAGTAAATACATTTTGCTGTCGTAGAATTACTAATATCTACTTTGTCATCTGTGTTTTGAGGGCCACCTTAAAGCCACCTTAAAGCACAGGTGAAATAAATGAGGACCAGGGATGGTTGTAACTTGAGTCAGCTGTAATGCGTATAATTTCTCCAATCAGGAACAGTTACGAATCACCTGATTCACTCTGCAGATGCCCAATTTAATCCTTATATCACATGTAAAAAAGTAGTAACAAGGTAAGAAAGTATTTGTTTTTACATTTGATTTATTTTAGTTAAATTAATCAAACTTAAATCATGTTTATTGTGTGTCTATGTAGATATTTTTCATGCAAGTTGTTAGTGCAAATTTTTTAGTGGTGAGCTGTAAGCTAGTTCATGGCTACAAGAGAGAGGTTAAATGTAACAACAATGAAAATGTTACAACCTACTCTAAGAAAATATTTAGTTGTATTTACATGTTTTCTTTGAATTTCATGTCTGAGACACACACAGTAATGTTTAAATGTTTGATTATTATGTTCAAATGTTAGTGTAAGACTTTTAGGCTTCTCAGGGCCCATGAGGCCTGAACTCCAGTAGTGCCATGTGTCTGTCAGCACTGTGACGGAGCAAGACAAGCCCCAGCCCCCCAAAAGCATGGGCTCAGGCAGGGGCAACTGCTTGGTCCACATGAACAAATGCTCCAGACGCTTTTGGATTCCAACCAGGCGATGGTTTACATGGTAACCCAAATAACCTCACAGATGGCCATTTCAACCTGCCCCAGCAGATCAGCTCAGTCAGTACACCACCCCAATCCCCCAGAATGCAACTTTCTGTATAAATTCATCATTCATTCTTCATTTGATCTTTTCAACCCTTTGTCCGCTGGTTCTTTGCCACAACTGGCTGAGCAGGCAGAACCCCCATGTTGATTGGAATGCCGGAAAAATAGTGAGTTGGAGCTCATATTGCCATTCCACCTGCCTTCGGTCTGTTGCCAGTAGAGATTTATCCTTTGTACCAGTTGAATACCACGACTTACACGACAGTGTTCAGCAAAGATTTGACCCTTTTCATTACCTCACATCGCCCCTATGACTGCCCCATTGATCTCCTCTCTGGTGCCTCCATAACAGCTTAAAATCTGTCGTGCCCCGAAAGGGAGTCCATGGAGCGGTATCTGTAGTACTCAGTAGCAGCTGCCATAATCCACCCTTCTTCCTCTGCAGTGGGAGCTAGCTTCTTTTTTGTAGGCAAGGCTTGACACACTAGATGAATAAAACACACTCTTATTAAAAAAATAACAAAAAACACTTTAGGTTGTTCAGCAGCGAGGAGCAGTGAAACAACAGCACGGCTCTGTCGATAAATAAAAAGTAAAAGTTAAATTGCGTTCTCAGGTGACCCGGATCAGCTGTTAGCTGTAAACACACCACAGGGCTAACGTTGCTATGTGGCTGTGTTTTAATGTTTTAATGAGCTGGTCCATTTGTTTTGGAGAGGAGATGACCTCGGTGGTAATTCGGCTCCCGGGAGAACCCTGTCAGGGCGCTGAAGTGGAGCGGAACCAGAACAACTCTCATCAGCTGTTGGCTGTAAACACTAGCAGGAATAAAGTTCCGGTGCGGCTGTGTTAAAACTATAACTTAGCACAACATAACTGCACTGTAATAACGTTATGCTTTATTAAATGTCACAAAATTATCAAAATAGATATTAGATATACACTCACCTAAAGGATTATTAGGAACACCTGTTCAATTTCTCATTAATGCAATTATCTAATCAACCAATCACATAGCAGTTGCTTCAATGCATTTAGGGGTGTGGTCCTGGTCAAGACAATCTCCTGAACTGCAAACTGAATGTCAGAATGGGAAAGAAAGGTGATTTAAGCAATTTTGAGCGTGGCATGGTTGTTGGTGCCAGACGGGCCGGTCTGAGTATTTCACAATCTGCTCATTTACTGGGATTTTCACGCACAACCATTTCTAGGGTTTACAAAGAATGGTGTGAAAAGGGAAAAAGATCCAGTATGCGGCAGTCCTGTGGGCGAAAATGCCTTGTTGATGCTAGAGGTCAGAGGAGAATGGGCCGACTGATACAAGCTGATAGAAGAGCAACTTTGACTGAAATAACCACTCGTTACAACCGAGGTATGCAGCAAAGCATTTGTGAAGCCACAACACGCACAACCTTGAGGCGGATGGGCTACAACAGCAGAAGACCCCACCGGGTACCACTCATCTCCACTACAAATAGGAAAAAGAGGCTACAGTTTGCAAGAGCTCTCCAAAATTGGACAGTTGAAGACTTGAAAAATGTTGCCTGGTCTGATGAGTCTCGATTTCTGTTGAGACATTCAGATGGTAGAGTCAGAATTTGGTGTAAACAGAATGAGATCATGGATCCATCATGCCTTGTTACCACTGTGCAGGCTGGTGGTGGTGGTGTAATGGTGTGGGGGATGTTTTCTTGGCACACTTTAGGCCCCTTAGTGCCAATTGGGCATGGTTTAAATGCCACGGCCTACCTGAGCATTGTTTCTGACCATGTCCATCCCTTTATGGCCACCATGTACCCATCCTCTGATGGCTACTTCCAGCAGGATAATGCACCATGTCACAAAGCTCCAATCATTTCAAATTGGTTTCTTGAACGTGACAATGAGTTCACTGTACTAAAATGGCCCCCACAGTCACCAGATCTCAACCCAATAGAGCATCTTTGAGATGTGGTGGAACGGGAGCTTCGTGCCCTGGATGTGCATCCCACAAATCTCCATCAACTGCAAGATGCTATCCATCAATATGGGCCAACATTTCTAAAGAATGCTTTCAGCACCTTGTTGAATTAAGGCAGTTCTGAAGGCGAAAGGGGGTCAAACACAGTATTAGTATGGTGTTCCTAATAATCCTTTAGGTGAGTGTATGTCAGTCCAGTGACTGTTACCTGACAACCGACTTGCCTCTCATTCCCCGGTGCAGGCAGTAAGTCAGCCTGCCGAGTGAAGACAGACTCTGAGGACCCATTTGAGCGCTGAATGATTAGTTCATTCCTGCTCCACAGTAGCCAAGATGTTATGTGAAAAATGAATGACTCAAACCCAGAGACCCACAGTTATGAGTCCTGAACTAATCAGTTCTGTTTCCTGTGCTGCCTGCTTACAACAGCCTGTAGCCAGCTGTCACGTGACAAATGAACGACTCAAACCCAGAGACCCTCAGTTGAGAGTCGTGAACTAATCAATTCTGTTTCCTGTGTTGACGGAGCCCATGCAGCTGCCATGTAAAGAGTGAACGTAAGAGTCCAAGACTATTCACGCATGCGTTAAAATGAACAAATTATTCACTGAGACAATACAACAATAGGTCAAATGAACGACACAACACTAATTGTCTACCGTGATTTAAATAACATCACCATTAAGAACAAGTAACCACTACCTCTCATTAATTCTGCCTTTGTCCCCCTTCATGGCGCCACTGTTTTTTCCAAGCTGACCTACATAACGCCTACCATCTGGTCAGAATCCAGGAGTGGGATGAGTAGAAAATGGCTTTCAATACTCCATTGGGGCATTTTGAGTATCTAGAGATTTTTGGTCTGATCTACACTCCTGCTGTTTTCCTTTAGTAAATAACATGCTCAGGGTCTTCATCAATCAGTTTGTATTTGTTTATATTGATGACATTCTGATTTTTTCTAAGAACATGTCTGATCACATAATCTATGTCCGCCAGGTTCTCCAAAGGCTGCTGGAGAACAGGCTTTACGAGAAGGCAGAAAAGTTTCACGTCAACTCGGTCAGCTTTCTGGAATACGTCATCGAAATTACAGTAGAGTTGCCTTGCCCCTAAGCAGTCTTAATTCCTCCTCCATCTCCTTTGAGTGGAACCCGGAGGCGGAGCAAGCCTTCAATTCATGGTTAGGGTTGACGCATCAGACACCGGGGTGGGAGCTGTGCCTTCTCAGAGGTCATGGAGAGCTCAGAAGCTTCATCTCTGCGCCTTTTTCTCCCGTCGACTCTCCCAGTCTGAACATAATTATGATGTGGGCAACAGGGAGCTCTTAGCAGTTAAGCTAGCTTTGGAGGAGTGGAGATACTGGCTTGAGGGAGCTGCGCAGCCATTCTTAGTCTGGACCGATCATAACAACTTGGCTTATATACTAACCGCTAGGAGGCTCAACTAACTCCTAGCAATTTTTTGGCAATTTTTTGGCTGCTTTCAGATGACACTTACCTTACTGCCCGGGGTCAAGGAATACTAATGATGCTCTCTCCCGACAGTTTGGGGCCATGGAGGCTCCCTCCGATCTGGACACTATTCTCCAATCCTCCTGCGTGGTGGCCTCACCCTGGTGGCCACTCTGCCCAGCTCCTATGCTTTCCTGCCTAAGCCACCTTCTGTTGCACGCTCTAATAAACTGAAATTGTGAATGCATTGGCTTAAAAGAGCTCCGAGGTACACAGAGAAATGTCAAAAATGTTAGCACCATCCCTGGTCTCCCCAACATTAATGGAGCCTCAGTTCCATCGATTGTATTCCCTGAGTAATCTGTGCCCAGTGATCACGTTGCACAATGTTAGGACCCTGGAATTAGTTCACCTAAATAGAAGCAGGAGTATGAAAAACTACTAGTTGGATTTATACCCTTTAACTTGGTAGAAGAGTCTAGCATGGGCCAAGGAAGAACCTATTCAATTTTGGATGGGATCCGAATCATTGGGCACATCCATCCATCATCAACCGCTTATCCTGTGTACAGCCCCGAACTTGGCGAACTCAGTATTGAGAAACAGTTACAGTCTTTGCCATCACCTGGGGGCTGACACATAGTAGCTACACAGATATGCTGGATGTCAAATTGAAGGTCTGAATGAGACAAATCACACATCACTGAGGGAGCTTCTGTTCTCAGGCCTGTAAAGCATGGAGTTCTTTGTTATTCATAGGAATATTGATTCAAATCCATTGTATTTATTAATATTTTATTTATTAATGCTATTTGTAAGACTTGGGTTTATGGAGAAACTACCAGCAAAAGGTAACAGTAAATATGGCCAAAACATGGATAGTTTCTTTTCTTCACGTTTGCAGTTACAGTTGTAGTCAAGAAGAAGATATTCAGCTGTATTATAATCTGTAGGATCATGGTTATTATTATTATTATTATGGTGTATAGTGTGATTTTATACTAGGCGAGTATGAAAATCTCATTTTCCTTTATTGTATCTCCATTTACTTTTGTAATTGTAACATAAATAGGTCTAGGCATAAATAGAAAGGCTTTTGACCTATCATAGAGACCAGAATTATGCATCTTGGCCTAATGCACAGTAACCACAACTGTAAGCTAATAATGTGATGTCTATTTATAATAAAGTAATGACAATCCCCTTTCATATTTTGAGTGCTTCTAAACAAGCCAAGAATTTTCCTTTTTCTTAAGTTAAAGGTTTTTTTAAGTTAAAATGTCAATTACTCAGAATGTAATAACAGAACAACGGCGGTACAAAATTTCGAACTATCTCACAGTTGTGGTCCTTTCCTTTGCCATTGTTGCTGGAGTTTTCTGCTGCATTGGTTGCAGTGGTTTCTGAAAATGTTTGGTCACATTCATACCAGAATGTTTTGTAAAACTGCCGAAGCTGTGTTGAAATCAAATCAGTTGACAGTTGAAACTCAGAATTCTAAAATTAAACTAAATTTTCACGTGGCACTTATCCTCTTTCATTCAGGTGTAATATCATATTACATATGTGCTTTTCCTGATATAACAAGCCAAAAGTCTGCTGTGAAAATGCTCTGTTTAAATCAAAATGATCTCAAGCTTCTAAAGGTGTATCATGAAGAACGATTTGTGACAGTGACTCACTCACAAGATTCTGGGTTTCTTGAAGCTGATCAAACTTTCCTTTCTGAAACCACCTCCACACTTTAAGTCTGTCTCCTGATGTTGTTGAGTCTGACTGCAGTTTCTGATGTGCTCTGTGTTACAGTGATACAGGCTCAGAATGGCTGGGGAGTGACTTACACCTCTACTCAGATCTGTGCCTTAAAAGGATCAACAGTGGAAATAAGCTGCACCTACACATACCCATCCAGAATAAATGGCCGTGATACTACAGTTCAGGAATCATTCTGGTTTACTCAGATGAATGGAGATGTACCTGTGGATCTGAGAACAGACTCAGAGTACGCAGGTCGTTTGCAGTACAGTTGTTCTAACAACATCTGCACTCTGAGAATCACAGACCTGAGAGAGAGCGACTCAGCTGAGTACAAGTTCATGTTCATAACAAACCAACCAGGTGGAAGATTTACTGGTTCACCTGGAGTCACTTTGTCTGTCACAGGTAACATTTTCATGAATATGTTAATTATTTAATTATTTTCAAATGTTCATGATCTAGGAAGCAATAATATGAATGTGAGTGTGTATATTCATGTGCGTGTGTTGACAATTTTGTCCAAAATAACATTCCTGTTCCTTCTTTACAGATCCAGATCTCCGGGTGCAGGTGATCAGATCTACAGTCTACAGGATTTATACAGAGGCAGAGCTGCTTTGTCACAGCAGCTGTCGTCTACCTTATCATCCTTCCTACGTCTGGTACAAGAATGGACAAAAAATTCAGACAGAAACATCTTCTTCTTATTTAGGCCACTTTTATTCTAAAGACAGTTATTCCTGTGCTGTGAAAGGACTGGAGGGTTTCCCCTCTCCTTCAGTGTGTGAGTTTACTCCACAGTCTTACACCACTGACACCACTAACATAACACCATCTGGTGGAGCCGAATCACTACATGTATTTTAAATAAAGAGACCCTCATTGTGACTCCTCACCAGATCTGGTATAAAAATGGTTCAAAATTGTTTTATCTTTCAGGTGTCCGTTATCAATACTGCAACAGAGTGACTTACACTGACAGAAGCATCTGTGCCTTCAAAGGCTCATCAGTGGACATTTCTTGTACTTACAACAGTTTTTACACTATCAGATCTAAATTCTGGTTCAGACCTGAACGTAGTCTTCAGTGGCAGAATCCCTCACAGCCTGAGGACCTTAGTGAAGACTCCCAGTATGCAGATCGTGTTCAGGTCCTTGAAACAGAGAGAGGACGCTCCACTCTGAGAATCACTGACCTGAGAGAGAGCGACTCAGCTGAGTATCACTTCAAATTCAAAACAGGAAAATTTGAATGGAGGAGTAGTTTACCTGGTACAACTCTGACTGTCACAGGTACTGATGAACACAAACTGTAACAGCACATTTAAACTATCTGATGACAAGTGAATGTGTTAAATAGTGATCCTAATGGGAAAGAATTTTATGTGTCATTAATTGATTATATGATTGTCATAATGTTCTATTGTTTATATGTCTGTGTATGTTGTGATTCAGCACCACATAAAGAACAAATATTTCTGTTTTTTCTCCACAGATTTAGATCTCCAGGTGCAGGTGATCAGATCAACAGTCTACCAGAATTATACTGAGGCAGAGCTGCTTTGTCACAGCAGCTGTCGTCTTCCTGATCGTTCTTCCTACATCTGGTTCAAGAATGGACAGAAAATGGAAAGGGTGGAGACATCTTCTTATAAAGATCAGTTTTATCCTGGAGACATCATCTCCTGTGCTGTAAAAGGACATGAGGATTTCCGCTCTCCTTCAGTGTGTGAGTTTACTCCACTGTGTCAGGAAAAAAGAATGCATACACACTAATATTGCAATACTAGTATGATTTCAGACTTAACCATTTTGAAGTATACTAGATCTTAATGTAGACACAGCCGTAAAAATTACACACTGAACAAAATTATAAATCCAACACTTTTTGCCCCCATTCATCATGAGCTGAAGTCAAACATTTACTTTGACTTTCTCTATGTACACAAAAGGCCTATTTCTCTCAAATATTGTTCACAAATCTGTGAAAATCTGCATTAGTGAGCACTTTGACGAAATAATCCATCCACCTCACAGGTGTGGCATATCACGATGCTGATCAGACAGCATGGGTATTCCACAGGAGTGTCTTGGGACATCCACCTGGACAGCTGCTGCAACAATCGGTTTGCAAAACCAAAGAATTTCTGCACAACCTGTCAGGAACCATCTCAAGGAAGCTCATCTGCATGCTCGTAGTCCTCATCGGGGTCTCAATCTCACTGCAGTTTGTCGTCGTAACCAACTTGAGTGGGAAATGCTCACAGTCGATGGTGTCTGGGACTTTGGAGAGGTGTTCTCTTCACGGATGAAACTTGGTTTCACTGTACAGGGCAGATGGCAGACAGTGACACCAGATCCTGACTGATTTGCGGACCCTCCCCAATACAGTGAAATTGCACATTTTCATGAACATTGAGTGGCCTTTTACTGTGGCCAGCCTAAGGCACACCTGTGCAATACCCATGCTGTTTGATCAGCATCTTGATATGCCACACCTGTGAAGTGACAGGATTATCTCGGCAAAGGAGAAGAGCTCACTAACACAGACATTGACAGATTTGTGAACAATATTTGAGAGAAATAGGCTTTTTTTTTTGTACATGGTCTTAGATCTTTGAGTTCAGATCATGATGAATGGGGGCAAAAACAAAAGTGTTTATTTATTTATAATATTGTTCAGTATATAAAGAAAAACTACCTTTAGTAGAAAGGCAAAATTCAGATACATGTTGTGATATAACAGTTAAACGTCTTTCCTATTATGTACATTTTTGAGATTTAGGAATATTTCAAGTATAAAATATGTTGTTGCAGCATTTACTGTTCGGTAGTTATGTTTCTGTTATTGAGATGCTCCATTACTTATATTGATAATGTCATGACCAACAGCTCTCAGCTCGAGTTAATTGAACAGTTTTTGACTGAGACAGAATGGATATTTTTATCCTGTAACTTGTAAAATCTTAAAATAGAGTTACCAGTTTCTGCAGATTTATTCCTGACTCCACAAGTCTATCTAAGTAGTGGTAAATCTGAAACACATAAATGCTGCTACAACTACAGAAAAATGTTTGTAGTTGTTAAAAATTACAAATTAGAAATGATTAAAGGCTCGTTTTCTGTCAATATAACAATCACAGACGTTTTAATGAGAACAGTCAATAATCTATGAAAACATATTCTACTCTTAATTCATGTTCATATCTTCTGCAGATGCTCCAAAGCTTCCCTCTGTGTCAGTGAGTCCCTCTGGGGAGATATTGGTGAACAGTTCAGTGACTCTGACCTGCAGCAGTGATGCTAACCCAGCAGTTACAGTCTTTGCCATCACCTGGGGGCTGACACATAGTAGCTACACAGATATGCTGGATGTCAAATTGAAGGTCTGAATGAGACAAATCACACATCACTGAGGGAGCTTCTGTTCTCAGGCCTGTAAAGCATGGAGTTCTTTGTTATTCATAGGAATATTGATTCAAATCCATTGTATTTATTAATATTTTATTTATTAATGCTATTTGTAAGACTTGGGTTTATGGAGAAACTACCAGCAAAAGGTAACAGTAAATATGGCCAAAACATGGATAGTTTCTTTTCTTCACGTTTGCAGTTACAGTTGTAGTCAAGAAGAAGATATTCAGCTGTATTATAATCTGTAGGATCATGGTTATTATTATTATTATTATTATGGTGTATAGTGTGATTTTATACTAGGCGAGTATGAAAATCTCATTTTCCTTTATTGTATCTCCATTTACTTTTGTAATTGTAACATAAATAGGTCTAGGCATAAATAGAAAGGCTTTTGACCTATCATAGAGACCAGAATTATGCATCTTGGCCTAATGCACAGTAACCACAACTGTAAGCTAATAATGTGATGTCTATTTATAATAAAGTAATGACAATCCCCTTTCATATTTTGAGTGCTTCTAAACAAGCCAAGAATTTTCCTTTTTCTTAAGTTAAAGGTTTTTTTAAGTTAAAATGTCAATTACTCAGAATGTAATAACAGAACAACGGCGGTACAAAATTTCGAACTATCTCACAGTTGTGGTCCTTTCCTTTGCCATTGTTGCTGGAGTTTTCTGCTGCATTGGTTGCAGTGGTTTCTGAAAATGTTTGGTCACATTCATACCAGAATGTTTTGTAAAACTGCCGAAGCTGTGTTGAAATCAAATCAGTTGACAGTTGAAACTCAGAATTCTAAAATTAAACTAAATTTTCACGTGGCACTTATCCTCTTTCATTCAGGTGTAATATCATATTACATATGTGCTTTTCCTGATATAACAAGCCAAAAGTCTGCTGTGAAAATGCTCTGTTTAAATCAAAATGATCTCAAGCTTCTAAAGGTGTATCATGAAGAACGATTTGTGACAGTGACTCACTCACAAGATTCTGGGTTTCTTGAAGCTGATCAAACTTTCCTTTCTGAAACCACCTCCACACTTTAAGTCTGTCTCCTGATGTTGTTGAGTCTGACTGCAGTTTCTGATGTGCTCTGTGTTACAGTGATACAGGCTCAGAATGGCTGGGGAGTGACTTACACCTCTACTCAGATCTGTGCCTTAAAAGGATCAACAGTGGAAATAAGCTGCACCTACACATACCCATCCAGAATAAATGGCCGTGATACTACAGTTCAGGAATCATTCTGGTTTACTCAGATGAATGGAGATGTACCTGTGGATCTGAGAACAGACTCAGAGTACGCAGGTCGTTTGCAGTACAGTTGTTCTAACAACATCTGCACTCTGAGAATCACAGACCTGAGAGAGAGCGACTCAGCTGAGTACAAGTTCATGTTCATAACAAACCAACCAGGTGGAAGATTTACTGGTTCACCTGGAGTCACTTTGTCTGTCACAGGTAACATTTTCATGAATATGTTAATTATTTAATTATTTTCAAATGTTCATGATCTAGGAAGCAATAATATGAATGTGAGTGTGTATATTCATGTGCGTGTGTTGACAATTTTGTCCAAAATAACATTCCTGTTCCTTCTTTACAGATCCAGATCTCCGGGTGCAGGTGATCAGATCTACAGTCTACAGGATTTATACAGAGGCAGAGCTGCTTTGTCACAGCAGCTGTTGTCTACCTTATCATCCTTCCTACGTCTGGTACAAGAATGGACAAAAAATTCAGACAGAAACATCTTCTTCTTATTTAGGCCACTTTTATTCTAAAGACAGTTATTCCTGTGCTGTGAAAGGACTGGAGGGTTTCCCCTCTCCTTCAGTGTGTGAGTTTACTCCACAGTCTTACACCACTGACACCACTAACATAACACCATCTGGTGGAGCCGAATCACTACATGTATTTTAAATAAAGAGACCCTCATTGTGACTCCTCACCAGATCTGGTATAAAAATGGTTCAAAATTGTTTTATCTTTCAGGTGTCCGTTATCAATACTGCAACAGAGTGACTTACACTGACAGAAGCATCTGTGCCTTCAAAGGCTCATCAGTGGACATTTCTTGTACTTACAACAGTTTTTACACTATCAGATCTAAATTCTGGTTCAGACCTGAACGTAGTCTTCAGTGGCAGAATCCCTCACAGCCTGAGGACCTTAGTGAAGACTCCCAGTATGCAGATCGTGTTCAGGTCCTTGAAACAGAGAGAGGACGCTCCACTCTGAGAATCACTGACCTGAGAGAGAGCGACTCAGCTGAGTATCACTTCAAATTCAAAACAGGAAAATTTGAATGGAGGAGTAGTTTACCTGGTACAACTCTGACTGTCACAGGTACTGATGAACACAAACTGTAACAGCACATTTAAACTATCTGATGACAAGTGAATGTGTTAAATAGTGATCCTAATGGGAAAGAATTTTATGTGTCATTAATTGATTATATGATTGTCATAATGTTCTATTGTTTATATGTCTGTGTATGTTGTGATTCAGCACCACATAAAGAACAAATATTTCTGTTTTTTCTCCACAGATTTAGATCTCCAGGTGCAGGTGATCAGATCAACAGTCTACCAGAATTATACTGAGGCAGAGCTGCTTTGTCACAGCAGCTGTCGTCTTCCTGATCGTTCTTCCTACATCTGGTTCAAGAATGGACAGAAAATGGAAAGGGTGGAGACATCTTCTTATAAAGATCAGTTTTATCCTGGAGACATCATCTCCTGTGCTGTAAAAGGACATGAGGATTTCCGCTCTCCTTCAGTGTGTGAGTTTACTCCACTGTGTCAGGAAAAAAGAATGCATACACACTAATATTGCAATACTAGTATGATTTCAGACTTAACCATTTTGAAGTATACTAGATCTTAATGTAGACACAGCCGTAAAAATTACACACTGAACAAAATTATAAATCCAACACTTTTTGCCCCCATTCATCATGAGCTGAAGTCAAACATTTACTTTGACTTTCTCTATGTACACAAAAGGCCTATTTCTCTCAAATATTGTTCACAAATCTGTGAAAATCTGCATTAGTGAGCACTTTGACGAAATAATCCATCCACCTCACAGGTGTGGCATATCACGATGCTGATCAGACAGCATGGGTATTCCACAGGAGTGTCTTGGGACATCCACCTGGACAGCTGCTGCAACAATCGGTTTGCAAAACCAAAGAATTTCTGCACAACCTGTCAGGAACCATCTCAAGGAAGCTCATCTGCATGCTCGTAGTCCTCATCGGGGTCTCAATCTCACTGCAGTTTGTCGTCGTAACCAACTTGAGTGGGAAATGCTCACAGTCGATGGTGTCTGGGACTTTGGAGAGGTGTTCTCTTCACGGATGAAACTTGGTTTCACTGTACAGGGCAGATGGCAGACAGTGACACCAGATCCTGACTGATTTGCGGACCCTCCCCAATACAGTGAAATTGCACATTTTCATGAACATTGAGTGGCCTTTTACTGTGGCCAGCCTAAGGCACACCTGTGCAATACCCATGCTGTTTGATCAGCATCTTGATATGCCACACCTGTGAAGTGACAGGATTATCTCGGCAAAGGAGAAGAGCTCACTAACACAGACATTGACAGATTTGTGAACAATATTTGAGAGAAATAGGCTTTTTTTTTTGTACATGGTCTTAGATCTTTGAGTTCAGATCATGATGAATGGGGGCAAAAACAAAAGTGTTTATTTATTTATAATATTGTTCAGTATATAAAGAAAAACTACCTTTAGTAGAAAGGCAAAATTCAGATACATGTTGTGATATAACAGTTAAACGTCTTTCCTATTATGTACATTTTTGAGATTTAGGAATATTTCAAGTATAAAATATGTTGTTGCAGCATTTACTGTTCGGTAGTTATGTTTCTGTTATTGAGATGCTCCATTACTTATATTGATAATGTCATGACCAACAGCTCTCAGCTCGAGTTAATTGAACAGTTTTTGACTGAGACAGAATGGATATTTTTATCCTGTAACTTGTAAAATCTTAAAATAGAGTTACCAGTTTCTGCAGATTTATTCCTGACTCCACAAGTCTATCTAAGTAGTGGTAAATCTGAAACACATAAATGCTGCTACAACTACA